GGCACCTGTGGTCCCAGCTACTTGGGAGGCGGAGGCAGGAGACTCGCTTGAGCCCAGGAGTTGGAGGTTGCTGTGAGCTGCAATGCCACGGCACTCTGCCCAGGGGGACAGCTTGAGGCTCTGTCTCAAAAAACAAAAACAAACAAACAGAGAGTAGGACTATGTTTCTAAAACAAAAAAGACATGACAACTAAATGCAATATGGATCCTGAGTTGGATCTTGCACTGGATATTATTTACTATAAGGACAATTGAAAAACTTTGAATAGGAGGACCATATCAGGCTCAGGCATCCATAGCTCAGTGAGTAGGGCACCAGCCACATACACTGAAGCTGGCAAGTTTGAATCTCCCCCAGGCCAACTAAACAACAATGACAACTGCAACTAAAAAGAGCCAGGTGTTGTGGCAGATGCCTGTAGTCCCAGCTACCCTGGAGACTGAGGCAAGAGAATCGCTTAAGCACTTAAGCCCAAGAGTTGGAGGTTGCTATGAGCTGTGACTTTACAGCACTCTACCCAGGGCAACATAGTGAGACTCTGTCTCAAAAAAAAAAAAAAAAGTGTCATATCAATGTTAATTTCCTAATTTTCATAATTATGTTGTAGATATGTAAAAAAAGCCCTGTTTACACAACAGTGAAATGTCCACTGACACACTGAAGTATTTAGGGGTAAAGAGATATCATGTCTACAACCTACTGTCAAAGGGTTCACACACAAATTTATATATATAAATATTTAGTAAGCTTATATTTAATTATATTAACAACATTAACACATATAAGTAAATATATAGAAAAAAATGTGTGTGTGTATATATATATATAGAGAGAGAGAGAGAGAGAAAAGGTATTTATGTAAACATTACAAAATGTTAACATTCGGGGAATCTAGATGAGAGGTACACAAGAATGCTTTGCACTATCTTCTAGAGTTTTTGGGGGGGGGGTTTGAGACAGAGTCTCACTATGTCACCCATGGTAGAGTGCCGTGGCGTCACAGCTCACAGCAACCTCAAACTCTTGGGCTTAAGTGATTCTCATGGCCTCAGCCTCCAGGGTAGCTGGGACTACAGGTGCCCGGCACAACACCCAGCTATTTTTTGTTTGTAGTTGTCATTGTTGTTTGGCAGGCCCAGGCTGAGTTTGAACCTGCCAGCTCCAGTGCATGTGGCTGACACCCTAGCAGCTGAGCTACAGGCAGCAAGTCTATCTTCTACTTTTTTTAAGTATGAAATTTCAGAATAAAAAGATGTTGATTTTTTTTTAAGATGTTGAAATTTTTTTAATTAAAGATTTCTTTTTTTTTTTTTTTTGAGACAGTCTCACTCTGTTACCCTAGGCAGAGTGCTATGTCATCACACTTCACAGCAACCTCAAACTCTTGGGCTCAAGCAATCCTCTTGCCTCAGCCTTCCAAGTAGCTGGGACTACAGTCATACACCACTAGGCCCACCTAGTCTTTCTATTTTCAGTAGAGACGGGGTCGGGGTCTTGCTCTTGCTCAGTATGGTCTTAAACTCCTGAGTTCAAGCAATTCTACCACCTTCAGCCTCCCAGAGTGCTAGGATTACAGGTGTGAGCCACCCAGCTCCACCAAACTAAAGAATATTTAACTAGTGTAGGCACTGAGTAGACCTTGGCCATGAAAAACTAAATAAATGCTAATAGTGTTAAGTCCAAGGGACTATGGGAACAAAGTGGAATCCCACTACACTAGGTTTATTGTTTTTTATTTTATTTTTTTATTTTATTTTATTCTATTATTTTTTTAATCCAGAAGTGAAAAAAGATGTAAACTACCCTAGGTTTAAAGCATCAATAAAGGCTTCCCAGCAATGAACCTGGACCAGGTACGGCCATCCTGAGCAAAGGCACACAGGTGAGGCACAGCTGGGTACAGATGGAAGCGTGAAGGTTGTATTGAGGGGCTGGATTTCAGAACCAGATAGGAAAGATCTGGATTTGAACCCCAGATCTGCTATACTCTCCCCACTGTGTGTGTTTAAGTATATTCCTTCTCATCATTGTCCCATATAAAAATATTTCATAGAGAGGAAGTGAAACACTATGGTAACAAGCCAAAAAGCCAGTAGCCTGACCTTACTGATTATTAACTATGAATATGGGCAAGTTATTTGTACCTAAGTTTCCTTCATATGTCAAATGAAGATAATAGTAATTATCCCATAGGGTTGTTGTAAAAATCAAATGAGCTAATATATGAAAAGTACTTAAAACACTGACTTAGGACATAAAATATGCTACAAAACCATGAACAATCACCATCATTCATAGGGTAGCTATAGATGTAAAACAAGATGATATATATAAAACTCATTCCTTACTATTATATGATTACGATATTGTACAGGATGTCATGTCTTTACTCAAAACCCTCTAGTGTCTTTCCATCTCACTCAGAAAAAAAAATCAAAGGCCCTAGTTGCCAGGGACTTTAGGGAAGTAGGGATGAGGAGTTGTTTAATAGATCTGGAGTTACAATTTGGGGGGGAAATGTTCTAGAGATGGATGATGGTGATGAATGATAGTTATGCAACCACGTGAATGTACTTAATGCCACCAAACTGTACACTTGAAAATGGTTAAAATGGTAATTTTTGTTACGTACATTTTATTACAAAAACGAAAAGGTGAGTGAGATGGCTCATGCCTGTAATCCTAGCAACTCTGGGAGGCCAAGGTGGGAGGATCCCTTGAGCTCAGGAGTTCAAGACCAGCCTGAGCAAGTGGGAGACCCTGTCTCTACAAAAATAGAAAAATTAGCCAGGCATTGTGGCAGATGCCTGTTGTCCCAGCTACTTGGGAGGCTGAGGCAAGAGGATTGCCTCAACCCAGGAGTTGCTGTGAGCTAGATTAACACTGTGGCACTCTAGCCTGGGACAGCACAGTGAGACTCTTTCTCAAAATAAGTAAATGAAAAGAAGAAAAAAATCCAGGGTTTACTTTGACTTATAAAGGCTTAACATACCTGGTCCTTTGCCATCTCTTTTAACCTCTTCTCCTGCCTCTCCCCAGCTCCTTGTGCTTTAGCCATACTGGCCTCCTTATTTCCTATACCTGCTCCACTCCCACTCGAATGCAAATCCCTCCCTCACTTCCTTCAGTATCTGTTTAAATGGTAACTCTTCCAGGAGGACTTCTCTGGCCACTATTGAAACTAGGCCCCAGGCTGGCACAGTGGCTCACGCCTGTAATCCTAGCTCTCTTGAAGGCTGAGGCAGGTGGATTGCTTTAGCTCAGGAGTTCAAGACCTGCATGAGCAAGAGGGAGACCCTATCTCTACTAAAAATAGAAAAAATACTTAGGCATTGTGGCAGGTACTTGTAGTCTCATCTATTCCAGAGGCTGAAGCAAAAGGATCACTTGAGCCTAAGAGTTTGAGGTTGCTGAGAGCTATGACACCACAGCACTCTACCCAGGGCAACAGAGTGAGACTCTGTCTCAAAAAAACAAGGCTCCAGTCATCCTCTGTTCCCTTCCCCCTTCCCCTGCCTTATTCCTTATTTTATTACCATCTGACACACATATTTACATTTATTAGCTGTCTCCCTAAGTAGAATGTAAGCTACATAACACTAGGGACTTCTCTTTCACTTAACACTGCATCCCCAGGGCCCAGAACAGTGCCTGTGTCCATAGTGCTCAACAAATAACTCACTAAGTGACTAAAGTAGCTCAGGTGACATTTCAGATCACTCATGATGACCTATAACAGAGGCAAGCACATAGTGCTATGAAGCCATAGATTTTCCTGAGGAACAGGATGGAGGAGATGAAGATTAAAGCTGTCACAATAGTCCAGATAAGTAAAGAGGGGGTAGGAAATGTGATAAAATGGCATGGAACTACACACATACATTGTACCAATATAAATTTCCTAGCTTTGATATTGTGCTATAGTTATGTAGGATGCAACTAATGGAGGAAACTGGATGGTCTCTATACTATCTTTGCAATTTCCTATGAATCCATAAGTATTCCAAAATGTAAAATTTTTACAAAGGGAGACTGGTGGGGAAGGAGAAGAAATAGAGTCACCAAGACTTAGTGACTAGCTAAATACAGGGGTTGGGGTACGACCCAAGTTTTGGCATTAGGCAACAGGATGAATGGTGGATCATTAACTGAACAGTGAGAGAAGCAGGCATGAGATAAAGATTGGTGGGGGTTGGAGAATGTCTTTAGCTGGTCTTCAAGCCACACAGTCCCTTATTACCTGGACTGCCAGGGAGTAATAACACCATCATCAGGGCCCCCAATCAGCACCAGACGGCCCACACGAAGAAAGTTCTTCCGCCATGCTGCAGGATGGGAAGAAGAGAGTCTGAGTCAGTCACAGGAATCAGAGAGGAACAGGTTGGAGAGAGGAACAGAGATCAGAGAAGAAGAAAAGGGACATAGGTAGAAGCCTGGATTCTCACCTGTGGCATTAGGATGATCTCTTTCCCCATTAATCAGGGCCAGGAAGCTGCTAGCATTGAGGTACAAGTCATCATGGTGAGGGTCTGGGTAGAAATAGCAGTTAACAAGATAGAGAAGCAAAGAGGGGAAGTAAGACTAGAAGCTGGAGTACAAGTCAAAGTGGATAGCAATAAAATAGTAACAAAAATAGTAATTGATTGGGGTTTTTTTTAAGACAGAGCCTTACTTTTTTGCCCTCGGTAGAGTGCCATGGTGTCATAGCTCACAGCAACCTCAGACTCTTGGACTTAAGTGATTCTCTTGTCTCAGCCTCCCAAGTAGCTAGAACTATAGGTGCCTACCACAACGCCCAGCTATTTTTTTGTTGCAGTTGTCACTGTTGTTTAGGTGGCCCAAGCTGGGTGTATGCGGCCGGCACATCCCACCATCCTCAGTGTATGTGGCTGGCACCCTACCCACTGAGCTACAGGTGCCACCAATAATAATAATAACATGATAGCGAGTACTTTTATCTAGCACCAACATGAACCAAGTACTATTCAAGGTACTTTGCATTCATTAATGTATTTAATCTTCACAACCAGCCTGTGTGTAATATGCTATATATATTTTTTTCCAGATAAGGAAAACTTAGTATCTTGCTCAAAGTTACCTAGTAAGATCAGGCTTCAAGCCCAAGTTGTCTATCCCTCCCTTTACAGAAAAGGTTTGTGGACCTTTGCTGAGTATACTCCCTGAGAAAATAAGTGACACACATAAAGCATGTTGAAAAGTACCTGTTCAAATAATAATTGTTCAGTAAATGTAAGTTATCATTACTGTCTTTATTGCTGTTGGTTATGGTAGAGGTGGAAGCAGCAGACCCTACACTCTACAGTGCCCTCTCCATGGAGACTCCAGTTCAGCATCCCCCACTCACCGTGCCAGTAGTTACAGATGGAGAATTCCTGGCCCCATGGGCTATAGCAGATCCGATAGAGATTGGATCGCATGGAGGTAGGGAACAGCCACTTCAAATAGTCTGTGTCTGGCAAGAGAACAGCAATGCCAGGTGACCATAAACCTCTTGCCCCCAAATCTCAGGACCTTCTATGGAGCCCAGTGCCCACTTACCTCCATACTGTCCCATCTGTGGAGAGGAAAGGGAGATGAAAGAATCCACATTGTGATCATCCATGACACAGAGCAGTGCTCGGCACACCAGGCCTCCTGCAGGCAGAATGCCACACATTGGACAAGGACTTAAGGAAAGCCAGGCCAACAGTACCTACCCCACTGTACAGCCCTAACACACTGTACATAAAAGAGACTGAAGCTCAGAGAAGACAAGCACACCCTGTGCCAACAGGTCAGAGATCTTGTAAGTAACAGAGACAAAATTAGATGCCGGGCCTCCTGACTCTACCTCTATGATGCTTTTACCTGCCCCATTAGCCTTTATGCCCAAGTGCCAAAGGTAATGGGAAAAGAAGGGGCAGCAGTGCAAGCAGCCTCCCTCCCATTCAAGACACACATGCTGAGGGAAGTCAGAAAACAAGGGCTCAAGTACCAGACCTCTGGCTGGAGCAATGTGGCAAAGATAAAGGGACACTATAAAGTGTGCCTTAGATATGGATCAAGCCTTAAGTAGGGCTTAGGAGTTGAGGGCAGGGGGGTTTGCCTACCCTGGGAGTAGCAGATGAGATGCACTCCTTGAGGGGCTTTTGCCATGATGGGGACCACAGCCTCTTGGAACCCTTGCACCTGTTCCCACAGGGGTCGCAAGCTCTCTCTCCCATCGAAGAGATCGAGCACTGTCACCATAGTCCCAGGATGTGTCTGTGAGAAGGGGTCAATGCAGCCACCAAGCATAGGCTTAAGAACCACACACACACCACCCCCTGGTCCGTGTCCACATGATGAGAACCAGGGATCTCATCATCCCCCAACTCTTCCCACGCCAGCACCATTTCCCTAAGGACCAGAGTGTGGCTTTCAATTCCCCACTTTCCTTCCCCAGCCACTACAGACGACTCTGAAGGCCTCTACCCAGGTGTCCTTTGCCAGACCTCATTGATGTATTCCAGCAGGTGGCGGAAGTTGTACGAGCTGTCGAAGAGCCCGTGCACCACGATAACCGGCTTGTAAGACGTGCGGTGAGGCGAGGGGGCTGCGGGCAGCAGCATCGGCAGGAAAGGCAATAGCAGCAGGACCCACGCCGAGAGGAGCCGCTGCCCCCAGAGCCCCAGCATGCTCCCGCCTGAGAAGGGGCAATGAGAGCCCATGAGGGAGATGACAACACCCTCTCCCCTCGGAACAGACGCCGCAGCGAAGCCTCCCCTCCCTGCTCCCATACTAGGTCTTTGTCGCAAAATAGCCTACTTACTCCAGTAGTCTCCCTACAAACACACCTCCTTACCACGTTGATGCACCAACGCGCACCCAAAGTCCCGCCCCCAACTAGCACTCGGGGTTTGTCCCCAGGCCCAGTATCTTCCTAATGTATCACCACAGCCATACACAACCCGAGGTTCCACAAGATCCCTCAGCAGCGGCCCAGGCCCCCTGGAAAGTGCAAACTCCCACCTGGCCTGGCTCGCTCCGCCTGCTGTTTACTTCTCCCAAGTCTGGAACCCACGGGGGAAGGGAAGGGCTTGCGGGTAAAGAGCACGCAGGGGAATGACGGATGGGAGGGGGGAGGGCGGGCAGCTCGGGGTCGCGCAAAGCCGTCACGTCCGGGGCTTTCCCTGGCAACCGTGCGAGCGTCCCCAGCAACACAGGCGGAGGACCGGAGGGGCAATGGAACATTCCATTGTGTTTTAGGAGCTGGGGAGGAAATAGGCGGAGCGATCCATTGTAGGCCGATGGGGAGAAAATAAAGCAGCAAACGTGTCCTCGGACTAGAAAGAAGGCCGCTCCGGACCCTGCTGCACCCAGCGACCCAATTTGGTCTAATTTTCCCTCTTTTAGTCGCCTCACTTTCCAATCCAGGCGTCTGGCTCTGCGGCGGAACTTGAAGTTTTCTCTCCCAGAAGGGAGGTGTGGGATGGAATGGTTAAAGGTTGTTCTCCGCATTTGGTTGTACACTGGGTGAGTGGCAGGATGACCTGGAAGGCTGAAGCCAGCCTGAGCGTACTCTTCCACCCCCGCCCGCCCCAGGACAGCGTCTTACAACTCTTCATTCTGAAGTGCGTGTTAGCGTCCTTGTCTCCAGAGAGGCGGAGAGTCCTCGAGGCCTCTTGAGCTAAGTGCAACTTGGCCCAGTTTCTCCTGCCCTACTCTACTCCCCTCCCTATATACGACCCACCCAAGGGGCGGAGTGCCCTTGGGGCTCCGCTGACTCAAGCCCTAGTGATTTGGACTAGTCTTTCATCCTGAGCGACCCCCAAGGTCCAACCTTCGGATTTCTCTATGGGCGGCTTCGACCCAGATCCTTCCACTACCGCAGAACTTCCGAGTACCTGGAGCTCGCACCTCTCCGCCTATCTGGGACCCCTACCGGGTACCCTTGTGCCCCAGCTGGGGCTTTTACTTGTTAAGACTTTTACATTTGGCTCGGCACCTATAGCTCAACCGGCTAAGGCGCCAGCCACGTACACCTAAGGTGGCGGGTTCGAATCCCCAGCCCGGACCCGCCAAAC